AACACCAGCTTGCTGTTAGAATCCTGAAGCAGCCCTTGGTAGACCTGCGCGAGAGCTAGTGACCCCTATACTTTCTTCGCCATAGTAGACCACTGAGCTGACGCCATGAGCCAGGCGGATGGGCTGGTAGAACGATGGCGGCGTAGAACCTTCCCAAACTTAAACTACCTGTGCTTTCATTAGACAGAAAATCACCATTCAACACGTTCGCGGCGGCGTGTACTCCCGGGAGTACACGAAAAAACTCCGCTTTCGGCGAATTGTGTACTCCGGGAGTACACGCGCCTATTCGCTCGTTTTTGGTATTTTCTTTTCCTTTTTCACCAAGAACTGGATACAGATAATCAAACAAACAATAGAGAAATAATATTTACACATTAGGAGAGGCGTGTACACCCGAAAAAAACACTTAAAGAACTTTTTTCTTCAGGCGAATCGTGTATTCCCTGGAGTACGCGCGCCTCTTCGCTCGTTTTTGCTATATATTTTCTTATTCGCTGATAACTGAGCACATGTCATAAAAAAACAATAGAGAAATAATATCCACACATCAGAAGAGGCGTGTACTGCCAAAAAAAACGCGAAAACTTTTCTCTTCAGGCCAATGTGTACTCACAGGAGTACACGCGCCTCTTCGCTTGTTTTTTATGATTTTTTTCTCTTCTTTTCACTGACAGTTATATACAAATAATAAAATAGACGACATAAAGTAATATCAAGAGGTATTAACATCAACATTAGATAACACACATTAATATTAACATTAATATTAAGAAGATATCAACATCTTCTTTGTCCGGTTCCAGCCAACTTCAAAAGGGCAAGAAACCTAGTTCGTTTACCGAAAATTAGATAAATCTTGTAGAAAGGAAAAATGTAGAAAGAATGGCAAAAAACGATTTAGTGAGTTTTGGCAAAGTTATATCCGTCGCGAGCGCGCTGAACCATAAACGGGACGATTGCCTTGGTGTTGCCTGCCGCGAACGCGCCGCTCGAGAAACGGAGAGTTTTTGGCGAAACGCCGCCGCCGCGAACCTTAAAGGAATTCCCGCGACCGTAGTTCATAGGTAATACGTTCAAAAATAGAACTGCCGTGTTTGTTGACTTATTGAAGAGAAGGAAGCACGAAAAAGCGCCCGGAATAAGACCCTCTTTATTGCAATTGATCATGATCACCGGACGAGCGTAAGGTGGTCAAGATCAATTGTGAATTGCGAAAGGCGGCGATACACTGATAAGAGACGAGAGAGGCCAGAAAACGACGGGCGAGAGAGCGCAATGGCAGTCTCACAACGACACGGTCACTGGAGGCCGGCATGGGCCTATCGGGCGCCAATGGGCCTAAAACCTGAGCGCCGCGACCGCTTGCGAGTCGTTACGTATCTAACTCTTCTCATCTGAACGAACAATACAGCCGGAAGAGGAGAAAAGGGGTCGTACCAGATTCATCTTCAGGGGTTATCCGACACCGCTATTTCACACATCACGATGGTGCACCCGTAGAAGAACATTCGGAGCTTGACGTCTTTTGTTTTCACATTTTTAAGTGCTGGTTGAGGCTACGACTCATTTCCCATGATTTTTACGAAATGATGCCCCCCGGTTCCAGTAGCACCAACTCTATTTCGTTGAGTCTGTATTCGAAGAGCGTGCAGTATCAGAAACACGACGGGTGCAATCATTTCTCTCAAATGGTCAAGTGACCCGCTCCCGCTGAGAACACGTGACAGAATCAAGTTCTTACAGAAACTGGTCATCTCTCAATCCCTAACAAAGGTGAGAGAACGACCAACCTCCCAGTGAAACGTTTTTTAGTTGGCAGCCGCGTAGAATGTAATCTTTTTTGGATGTTTTCGATTCAGATCATTGAACGTCCCTGTATGGAAATGAGTACTTTACTTCGTTGAAATGCCCATAACCATCGGTAATGCTCACTGGGCGGGCCGCTGTCTTTCTCTCAGAAATCCGTGATCGCCTCGTCGCATCTGAGATCTTTTCCATTGAATTCTGAGAAGTTCCTTACGTCTTTCCTTCTTCAGTTTTTGCATGGTGGATATCCTTGCAGTGTGATTTCAAATATTCATGGTATAGTATATAGGGCTTTCACAAGATTCTGGGGGCTTTATAAGGCTAACAAGTTTGAGCGTCTTCTACTTCATCATGGCCTATGATGAAAAACTGTGTTGCGTAGCACTGTTAAACAAAGTGGAACTTTCTTCTTAATAGCAGCAAGTGTGAATTATACGGTAGCTCGGAAAGCGGACTAATTTCTGACAACCCCTTTTCGCTCGTGAGAGCGAGCATTTCTGAAAGCGCTTCAGTCAACGAGAACAGGACAGCTGGCTCATCAACTGTCGAGGGCGGACGGGTATATTACTAGTTTATCAATCAAATCTTCACATAATCCTTTTTTCTCTTCTCAGGAAGTAGTATGAATAGCGTGTGATCCTTCTCTCTGTCTCAGTGTTTAGTTGAAATATTAAGTTTCAGCGCGTTTATCCTAGGGTAGCAATTTGTGGCACACCTCATGGTGTAAATAAATAAATAAATATTACAGTCGAGGATCTGTTGTACTGTTGTTCAACCATGCTGAGTGATGTCACGAACACGGAGGTGATTGCTCGCCTCGGCCATCACCCCGACCAGGTCGAGAAAGAATTCGTCACCATAAGGCATATGGCTCGAATATTTTGTACTCGCTCTAATGGTAGCAGGGTGCTCTATATTGGGAGAAATGGCGAAAAAGCGAAGTGAAACGGTCACGTCAAAAACTGCGATGAAAAGCTTTTGTACTTCATAACACTGGAAGAATTGTGCGTTGGGAGGCCAGGGTAGGTATATTGCAGCTTGGTAGGGCCTTATATGGGTACGTTCTTTAGAAAAGAAGAACGCAGCGCCTGATCAGGAGAGCGGAATTCCGTGCTGCTAGGCATATTCATTCTACTCGTTTTTAAGGATTTATCGTGCCAACTGCCTTTGAAGAGCGGACCCCTTCAGTGGACAAACGCTTGAGACCAAGGAGACGTTTCGCCAATCCTCATTGAGTTACACCTAATGTAGCTAGGTCGGGAAGCAATACAGTCATGCAAATGGAACATGTCATTGACGCTGGGCTTGGAGCGCCACCAGCTCGTTCTCTACCAGTTGCCCGAGCGTAAAGGACGGAAGAATCCAAGAAATGGGGGGAACCCATTTCAGGCACGGTTGTTCTATTCGGGTGATGGTAACCCCTGCTTTGCACAAGGAGCCGTCGAATTCTTCCTCCAGGATAATTAGCGTCCAGAACGTCAGACCGATCTGCGTGGAACCCCACGGTCTTGGCGAAAAACTTGACTGCTCGGGTCGAGCTATGAAAAGCAAACCGTGGACTTAAACGTGGACTGTGCGCGTTCTCCAAAAAGTTCCATGGCTCAGGTTTTTTCCCAGTATAGAGGCGAAACTAGCGAGAAACCCACACACGAATGATTCTACCCCGGAAGTTGAACGCATTCTTAGACAGGCGCCTGTACTGTAGGCCTTTCTGAGGGCACGTCGCGCGCAGGAGGAGTCCCCAGTGGAGTGATCGTAGTTGGTTGCAGGGAGGGAACGGGTCGTATTTGGTCCGAGAAAATGTTGTTTGATAGTCAGTTTTTCCTGTTTCACGCGCTATCCGCGACGTTGGAAGCTTCCTACTGGGAGGTGGGGCTCCTATTTGTCCGTCGCTTGGAGAACAGGGTCGTATCTGGCCTCGAGTGTTTTTCCTCGCACGAGAAAAATTTCTTCGGTTGTTGACTTCCGCGGTTCTTCCCGTCTCCTGAGGTCGCACAGAAGAGCAAAATGGGGGGAGGGGGAGTGTAGGGGTTTGAGGTCATGTATGGAAAAACTCCCTCCAGCGACAAGAAGGGCTCTGACTATAAACCAAAGTCAAGCGTGAGTGGGGCCATTTTAGTCTTTAAGTCAGTCTCTCTGATGTCCTTAATCATTCTTAATTTTTCGTCTTATTTACTCTGACAAAAAGGACTTATCAAAATGAAATCAAAATGAACTTCCATATACAAGACAGGTTCGGTTTCATAATTATCAGCCCTTTACCAGCTATCAATAAACTACGAGCCAACACCCCCCCCCCATCGATCAGATCAGGGTTTCTGGCCAGACAGTCGTGATCGTTCCTAGTGACTGGTTTTCGTGGGGTGTATCTGATCCCAAAGTTCAAACTTGGGGCACTTATCCTTCATTACTGGGAAGCCGCGTGTGCCCGCTCCACACAACTATCGCCCCAACACACTAACCACCACCCCTCCCAAACTGCAATGAAACAATCCTTGTCCATGCTGAACACTACCATCTTTAACTTTCCGCCGAATCTTTCCCTCCTAGACAATTTCTCACGGCTCTCGCTCTCTCGCACCGGCTGATGAACTCCACCCCTGCCTCTGGAGTGATCATTCTGGAGAGTATTTTCTTACGGATTTTTTTGCGTTCTTTAGAATTGTGACAACGTGTGACTCCTGCACATTTGAGGTATTGCGTAAATTGGACCAATTTCCTGCCTTACGACTAGGCCATTAAAGGGGTCAAGTTAGGTCGTTAACAACGCGGGGCGGAGATCAATGACATTCTCTGGCCGTTCGTCATCTGTCGCTCGTCTTTTTCTAGTCTTCTTTTCCTTTCTTCAACTATATCTGGCCTAACCTCACTGTTTCTTAGCCTATGAATGTACGTTGAAGTGTTTCGAGCGTGCGTTTACGGAGATGCAAGTCGTATGCGGTCACTATGAGGAGAAGTCCACTGATTAGGTCCAGGGGAGACGAGTCCAAGAATCACTATACAATCAGCACTCGGCCTTCAAGACTGTGGAGTTGTGGAGGAATGGCTACGTTAAAAGTCCTTCACCTTTATTTTCACTTCAACGAGAGCAAGTTTCATTAGATACAGCATGAGTAAATGGCTATCGATTCCGAGTCATGCACTCGAGGAATGACCGATAAATAAAACGGCAACGCGCTTCGTCAGACCCCATGCTAGGCGATATCCAACTAAAGGATGAGAGCGATCCTGACGTGAGCTTCTTCCTTGAGATGACCGGACTTGTTCTGAAACATTTCCCAGAGTTCCTAAATGAAGAATCGGGCTCCAGTCTTCGAATAAGTACCTAGGGCACGTTTTTAGGTCGATGAGGCAAATTTGACGCATGCCTATCAAACAGCTGAACGATTACGCAAATCCCATCCAGACAAACCATGGATGCACTTGGCAGGACTGATTCATGATCTTGGAAAAGTGATGAGTGTCTGGGGAGAGGAACAGTGGGCGGTTACGGGTAAGTTGAACGAGACCTTTAAAAGTATAATCAGAGCGTTTCACTTGAGAGATTTCGCTTATGGCTGAATTCCTTCGCGAAGTGCAAAAGCTCATTAGATTGTATACCTCGGGCAACCTATGTGTTGATACGCTATTTGGTCTGCAGTACTCAAAAAAATGCAGGAAAAATGGTATGAAACTATCGGCTCGGCTCAGCGGGAGGGGTTGGTTAGTTTTCGTTGACGTGCCGGGCCATTTCATGGAGACCTATAAACTCCTGCAGGATAATTCTATGGAGACTCCCTGTGGACTGAGCTGGTACGGGATTGATTCCCAGAGGCCGTTTAGGCTGCTCATACATACCACAGGACATATTGCACACCGTAGACTGCTGCCTCCCCACGAAGTCTAGGTTTTTTTGATTAGGTCTCAGTCGTAACTTGATTAGGGGGCTCGTGGAAAAATGATCTCTGACGTCATTCCAAGGGGGGATGAAACGAGTTTCTCCTTTAGTTACCACCCATCGAAGTCATAACTAGCAGGGAAAGCGTGGTCAGTGTCATAAAAAGTTGAAAAAAATTTCGGGTTGTTTGGATAGAGCAATAGTAGATCTTCTAAGTACCAAAACTGTGTGACCTGGTATAGTCCGCCTCTAGTTAAGTGGACTCAGCCCTGTCAGTATTTCCAGAGGCACTGACCGCTTGACCCCCTCCCATCTTCCCACTACCCTCTGAAAGCCAGTTGCAAGCAAAGCACCCATCTGAGGCCCCTGGGTTGTGTGACGAGTTTCCCATTCAGGCCATCCAACCACATTGGTTGGTGCAGCACACCCGCCATAGAGCATCGAAAAGGCCTACCATTAAATGCATATACAGTCACGAAGGAAGATGGTATTTGCAATGCACCAGGTGAATGGGTCCGTGGCTGCAGTAGTAGGCCACGTTCCACTCTCAAAAGTGCCCTGTATTGGGGCTGCAGGGTTGCGATTCTCGAGTGCCTTCTTCTGACTCTGCCCACGCTATACCTGCGGTGCAGCACTTGCGTCGATACCAGAACCCCGCAATGAAGAAGCAGTCAGACGTAGAGGAACACCGAAAGTGAAGTGGCGCCCAGTAGTAGCGCATAGGCATGACTAGGCTTGTGGTTGGCCTTGCGGCAGCGTATGCGAAGCTGGGAGACGGCATCGAGTGTCGCTACCCTTCAGCCCCCACGAGGCAGTGTCAGAAGACGTGCAATTAACCCATTATGGCTGTGTTTTTCAGCAATGGTAGAAAAAGCCGCGGGTGGGCCCATTCCACGTCTCCTGATACCGCCCCGTCGGATTGTGACGCCACCAGCTGTGATCTTTTACTAGGCTTGTGCAGAAATGATCGTCCACAAAAGATAGCTTACGCTTGGTGTCTTCATTTTAGGTGATACCTATCCTGTTGGCTGCAAACCGTCAGAGACGATTGTCTTCGGTATCAGTAGTTTTGAAGGGAATCCAGACATGAAGAACCCAAAATATAAGTAGGTTTAAATTCAGTGGATTGCAAGATTGAGGTTCGAAGACAGCGATTACTTGCAGTACCGAACTCGGCATGTATAGCGCAGGAATCGGATTCGAAAACTTGAAGATGTGCTGGAGTCATGATGAATACATGTACCAGGTACCAATTTTGTGTATACTCTAATACAAGTTGGATAAGTTCAACGGTGTGTCAGGTGAACGGTGAAGGCGCATGAAAATTGAGAAGCGAAGGACATGCACAGTTCATACACCTACTAGAGCAAAGATTTCCGTTAAGTGAACATCTTTGAACTACAACAAACCTCGCGAGCTTCACACTGTCATTCCTTCTGTTTTCGACTAGATGAAAGCCAAGGATCAAGCCAAGGATCAATTACACAGTTCAAAACATCCGAGCTGAAGCATCACGAGCAAATATTGCAAATTGCGAGAATGTTCTTCAACGTGATGTACTCTGTTTCCAATACTTTTTGTCACCCTCGCCCAATCTTGGAAGTGCTGAGCTACAGCTAGCCCACGTCCTTCATGTGGGCGAGGTCAGCCTACCAATGTGCATCACTACTCGCCTATGCTCCTCTTTAGCATCCCGGGAGGACAAGCGTATAACTGAGAAAAGACCAGGTCTGACCCCGCCCATACAGTAAGCGCAAACTCTACCTTCGAGATTATTTGCAAAACTCGGAGCCGAAAATCCCTGTATCAAAGCTAAACCACAAGGATGAGTCGCAGCCTTTCTATAAGCTCGCGGGCGAGTGCCAATTGCCGCCGCCGATTTGCCTCGCTTTCCTCACGAATAAATGCTGCTTCTTCTATTGTGCAGAAAGAGAAACTATGTAGGATTATTGAGGACTACAAAAGGGTGTTCAAATGAGGATTTCAGCCAGTCAAAGGCACCTTGTCTTCCCCTGGGAAGATGTTCACTTGCGAAATACCTAAGTCTGTTCCTCAGATTGAATCCCTGAAATCCATCTTTCAGAGAAATTCGACCGCCATTTGGAAGTTTAGAGAGCTTATGGGTACTCGGAGCATCTCTGCATAGATTTTCCAAGAACAAAAACTTTCATTTTCAAGAACAGAACCTTTCATCTGCTTCTCGACCTACTTGGTTCTTCACGTCGTATTAGCACAATGAGAACAGTCTTGGCGTCTCGCTCGCGCTATTCGGGGAGCTAACGTGTGGCAGGATCACCTGGGTTGCTTAACTACTTTGAAGCTTTTTTCGGCTCTGATGGTCAATTGATGGAGAGGACATGAATAGGAGAGGTGGTGCACTAATTAGTCAGTTGTTCCGTGCAAATTATTGTAGCCTTGCCCTTTACACCAGAAACTCTGGCGCTAAGGTCTACGCACATGTACTTAAAATCACTGGGATGTGGTAGGAGTGGTTACGTACTTCTTGTGAAAGAGGCAGCGGAAACACTTTTGGTGGGAC